ACATTAGTGAATAATCTCAGAGAACTGAGGTTACTGAGTTAAATGATATCTCAGAACTTGACTGAACCCAGATTAATCATATTTAGCAAAGCAATAGGAATTAAATTATTCATAATAGATTAATTTTAATATATTTAGTATGTTTATTTCTATAACCATTTTTAAAATAATATTGTGTATCATAGCATCACTGTAAAACTAAGCCAATTTAGAGAAAAAGTAATGTAGAACAGTTTTTCAGTGATGCTATCATATAAAAATTGGTTTAAAAATATGTTTAAATAACCCTGTAAGTAATCTGAGCCAATCAGTATGTGTATTTTCACACAATATATGTGAGGATTGCCATAACTTTTTGTAAATTTTGACAAGCAAAAAAAGCTCATGGAATTAAAAGAATATTGGTAGTCAGGCAACCAATGAGGCAAAAAGACATTGTGATGTCACAATGAAATGTAAACCTGTCAAGATTGCCTCGTCACCACTACTAGTATGAATTATCTAGTTCGTGTGTATGTAATTCAAAGAAAGGAAACTCATTAGTCAACTGGGAACTATAGGACAAATATGGAGATATGTTGATTTTAATTTACATGATTAAAGAATCATGGAAAGTGTAAGTTTTTAAATTTTAATTTTATACTGTAAAAAAAAAAGAAATCTGTCCACTCGCTGATCTTGAACAGTAGTTTATTTAATATTGGGACATTCAGATTACATGAAAATACTTCCTCATAATCTATAACTTGTATTTTAAAAGTATCTTATATTTAAACTATATGAATTTCTACTACAGTACTCTTAAGCAATTTTGCCTGAATCATATAATGTGAGAATTCTTATTATAAGATATTCTTATGAAAGCATGATTTGTAAACAGATTTGTTGAGAATACAGCAGATTTTATTAGAATTATTGTATTACAGTGCAAATGTTTTCATCAGTTTCAGAAGCAATTCTAGCTATAATTAACAGAGAACATAAGAAGACACTCATTCTGTTTCTCACTTCTGATGAGTGCTAGTTGGGTTTCAATCAAATTATAAAGTAGGAATAGAGGTTTTGATGGTTCCAAGATCAATATAATCTCTCCGTAAGCTCGGTACACCGGAACACTGATTTCCCATGCTTGATTTGTCATGGAGAGCAGAACAAGCAATATTTTTGCTCACTTATTTAAGAAGGTGGCTGAAGAATAGAAGTTCCCAGGAGAAACATACTGAGAATGTTTTCAACAGGGTAAACATGTTAGATGGTTGCAGCAAAACCAATAGAATCTTGTAACATTTAAGCTCTAAGCTAGGATAAAAGTAAAAAATAAAAAAAATAAAATTTAAATTAGTGGTCAATGGTTTGCTCAGCTTTGGATTGATTAAAGGTTGCTTTCTCTCACCATTCCCAGTTCAGGCAATCATGACATTGGTCTAGTCAATAAATATTGGGAGATGAAAAAGATTAAGTTTGTATAATTATTCCTATTGCTATGTTACTGCACTGCTGGTATTGCACTAAGAAAAGTTACTGATGTTTCTTTTCAGCATGGGAGTCAACACAATATGCATCCTTCTGACTACTGTTCTCCAAATGCTAGACTTTTTATATTATATGGGACAACAACAATGTTGTTCTCTTTGCTAAAAGCACCAACTTTTTTAGAATGTTAAGAACTTGATGAATGTTGGACAGAAGAAAAAATATTTCATAGATTTATTCCATATGATCCACAGCTTTTGATGTAGAATAGGGCCTAGAAGACTCTTTTTATAATGCCTATTCAGCTCAGCAACAATAAGGGCAGGCTTTATTTTGTTTCCTTTGCTTACCTTTATTAGTCAACATGGCTTTATTAATGCATAAAATCCTTCTAATTAAGTGATGCATTCTATCTAATAATACCTCTTAAGAAAATTAACCTGGAGAGAAAACCAACTGGGACATTAGCAGCAATATAACCAATATTTATCTTTATGTACTGAGATGTATTCTTCTAGTTCAGCCATTTTGTGAGCTTTGGAAGAATAAAATTAGGAAAATCATTTTCTATTTTACTGGTTATCAGAATATATATATCAGTTCTGTGATTTTTCCTGTCCGGCCAATATATATTTGTGAATTAAATAGAATTCCCATTTAGTATTTTTGGCAAAGGATTATGGCTTATATATTTTTCTTTTTTAAAAAAAGCAAATACAATTAAAGATATAAATGCTATTTTAATAATGGAATTATCTTTTTTGTAATTTGCTCTTGATATATTGTGACTACCGATATGTTGGACTATAGATCTCCAGTGTTTCAGCCATGTTGACTAGATGCTGTATCCCAACACACTGAGGTCACAGGGTTGATTCTGATTGGACTCCTTTGATTCATTTAAACATTTCTGTGCCCATCCTGATAAATCCCCCTTCCCTCTCGTCTTTCTCATATTTCATTAGAACTGGAAAGATTACCCCAGTTTTGGAAGCTGTTGTTTGTATAGTGGATTGCTTTTTCAAGAAAAGAGAAATGCAGACTTCTATGGAGTTGATCCCTTTGGATCAGAGCCATGGCAGCATGGAGCTTAAAAATGGTTATCTATTGCCTTTGATTATTCAAATCTTTCCCACCTCTGCTTCTCTATCCGGTACAAGTCCTTGAACACTGACAGCAGGGCTCTAATTTGAAGTTCCCTGCTGAGACACATCTTTGCTCTTACATTCAAGAGCTCTTTCTGATTCAAAGCAGCATAAGGGCAGAATAGTCACATAGCAAGCCTCAGCTTTACAAATTCATGAATTTCAGAGTTGAAATTTGATTTATGAATACAAAAGAACCTTTATTTAAATTCAAACTATTTAAATAGTCAAAAGAATGTTCTTTTCATTTAGTGAGTTTATTATTTCAGATTGCCCCAATGTCAGTGGAGTACACAAATGAGTATTTGCCCATCAATCCCTGGAGGTAAAAAGGTTCCTTGAGTGTGGGGAGAGCTAAATTTTCTGGCTGTGAAATGATCAAGCATCATATGAAATAATACTTTCTTATTTTGATTGTACCTCAGGGCTACCATGTCTGGACTGTAAAAATCCAGACAATCACAAGATGGCAGCAACTGGAAGGTTCTGAAACTGTTGCCATCTTGTGGTCCTCAGGATTTCTGCAGCCCAAATCTGGTAGTTCATACTCTCTGATCCTTTGTGACCTCCATCAGAATGCCATACATTTGTTGAACTCAGATTTTCTGTCTATCTGATAATCTCCTGACTGCTGCTGCTTTTTTCCATAGCTAAGGAGCAGTAATCTACTCTTGCTTACCTCTCTAAATCACAGCCTCACTGTACCGGGTCATTCTGAGCCTTTAATTCCCTTTTAGAGGCAGACTAGAGTATAAAGTAAACAAAGACAAATTCGCAGCCTTCAACATTGCTAATTTGCTCTGATGTCAGAATATTTAAATAAATGGGAATTATTTGATCAGGGCTGTTTTTAAGTCCAGCACTTGGGGAAATGGGTGAGGCTAGGAAGCTTCTGAAAAAATGACAGCTTTTCCAAGAGATACTTGCTGACGCTTTCCTTTTTCATCAACTGCGTCCTCATTTTTTAAACCTCTTTGGTTACCCTGCTACTAGAATAGGGCCTTTCCACTAGATTTTATTCCCCCTGTAAAGTCTTATAATAGCTTTTCTCAGAGCAATTCTGTGTCTTCTGTGTCTTTTTATTTCTGATTCTGTAGAACACCAGGCAGCCCTGCCTTTTGTTCCAGTTCATTGGGGTGAATTTGAAATAATGCCTTCTGCTTAACATAAAGTCCAACCGTTGCTGTCTTTTTGCCCTGTCCTGCGTTCTTTGTCAGCCCAGTATTCTCTACTGAGACCAGGAACATCTTCAGTGCCCCTTAATTTTATGCTTTGCAAACAGCCTTTCCTTGGGGATTGCACCTCAAAATCAGTGTGACTTGACTAGCGGTTTATATTTTGTGAACAAATAAATTATTCAGGCTGGCAGTAGAGATGAGAATCTAACACGCGCTCCCACACATTGTCAGGAAAGCACTTTTGACAAGTAATGATGTTAGATCTGCTGCCTGTCAAAGATACACTCTTACAAGATGACTTAAAATGCCTGTAATCCCCCCTCCCACTGTCCCCCCTCCCCTTCCCCCTCAGCAAGATTATTTCAGCCATTCTCTGCATTCAACATGAGAAGGGAAGGTATAAAATAACTGTAAAATATTGGGCACAAGGTTTTTTGTTTTTTTTCAGGTATTGGCTGTATTTATTTGTTTGCACAAAAATAGACATCAAAGGAGCTGCATGGCCAAGTAGGTCTATTAATCTTTACTGTGCATCAGAGATTAAAATGATCCACAAGCAGTTTTCACAGGCTTTTTTTAAATGATATTTTTCTTTGGTGATACATTTTTACTATGCTCGTATGGATAGAACTAAGTGTGAGTTAACCTGCTGGCAACTTGCTTTAAAAAAGGAGGGAAATCACTGGGGTTTATCAGTTGTTCACACTTGCTCAATAATACATACTGGTGATGGATTGTTCTTCTGAGGGTTTCACTAGAGAGGGTTGGATCCTTGTGATTGCAGCATTTGATTATTGGTGTTTGTTCTCCCCCTCCTTTCTCCTCCCCTTCCCTCCCCTTCCCTCCACATCCCCTTTCTCTCTCCAGCTGGTGTAAATGACTGCTGTGGCCTCAAAGACCAAGAGAACCTGCCCAGTCAGCTGAAGCCCCCTGTGGACAGCTGTCTCTCCCTTGCTCTCAGCTGATGGAAACTGCTAGTAGCCACTGAATGGGGGAGAGTGAAGTAAAACCACAGGACCAGCAGCTGCAGCTCCAGCGGTGGTGGCGGCAGCAGCAGCAGCAGCAGCAGCAGCAAGCAAGCAAGAGCTCTATTGTTCCCAAGTCTTAAACAGTTTTCTTCCTTTCCAACTGAAATGCACAATAGCTGGAAAGCCATTTCCAGTCTCCCTGCCCTGTGAAGAAATCCTGTGACCGGAGAAGGGGTGGGTGGGAGAAACCCTTCAGGTTCTCCATTGTGCTGCTGGTTTGAAGAGTGAGCAGGCTCCTGGAAGGCACCATGGAGATGGCAGAGCAGTATGTGGCTTTCCTTGGTGGTGTGGTGGTCTCAGCTCACCCAAGCAAGTGCCTGGAGATCCTTGCACTCCTCTGGTTTGCGATCTGGGTCGCTACGGCACAAAGTGAATTGGAAACTTCAGTGTATTTGTGGAAGACAGGTAAGTAAATCAGGGAAGTGTGTGCGTGTGCTGTCCTTTGGCTTATTCCTGAGGGTACCGGCTTATGCATGTCTCCTGGCAGGATAACGGGCTGCTTAAGGATCTGTTGTTTCCATAATCTTATAGAAAGAGAGGGACCGTGGGATGTTTGAGAAGCAAGGAGAAAATGGGATCATAGCCTACAATTGTGGGCATCTTAAGAGGAGCCAGGAAAATTGCATGCATGTGAGATGTGATTTGAAGTCTTTGTATTTTAGGAGTTGTGGATTCTTTAAAGTTAGGTGGGTGGGATGGGGTATAGCATGTGCAGAAACTCATGATGGATTGAAAAAAAATAATCCCTAGAGCTGCCCACATTTCATAACTGAAAAATGTTCATGGCAAAAATAAGCTAAGTGGATTTAATATCAAACCAGGCAGATGATTTTTCTGGATTAATAGTGCGTCTGATTTCTTTTCTGTTTCTCAACTTTTTAATAAAAAATCAGTGTTTATTTTACATATGAATCTCCTGCATGAATGTGTAACCTTTTAAATGGCAGCAAATGATAATGTATTTCTTAAAATCATATAAACTACTTTGTGTCTCAAGACACACCAGCTGAGTGCAGACCTTAACATTCAAAAAGATCAGCAGACTTGCAAAAAAATAATAATCAGCTAGTGTCTCCTAGAGTGCAAAAAAAAAAAAAAAATTAAAAAAAAAATCCACAAACAAACTGAAACATAGTGGTACTCTTTCAGAAGATCTGTTCTTGAAATTTAGCAACAGCAGCAAAAATAGCCATATATTGCAATTTTAATCCTTTGCCTGCTTACTGAAAAGAAAAAAAAACAATGCATTTTGAAGGACTTATTCGCAATAGAGCTATGCTATTTGAAATGATGCAAAGGTTTGCTGAAATGTGTACAGTATGTGTGTGCCTGTGTATCTTGCTATTTGAGGGACAAAGAAACAGAGTGAAATATACAGTTATAACAATGCCTTGCATTTTAATGGTTACATCTATCCAGCTGTTCAAAGAAGAAAATGAAGATGATTCTGCTTCAATAGAAGTCAGGCTTTCCCAGTAAGAAATTTGAAAAGGGGTGGGTGGAAATCTATTGTATTTTTTTTGGGGAGAGGGGTCTGGATTTTAAAAGATCAATGGTCTAATGACCACAGTACAGATATAAAAGTGACCTTACATTATTTTCATTTATTGCACTATTGATTAATCTAAGAGAATGTCTACTGTCCATCAAAGTCAGGCATCATAGGTTAACACTTCATAAAGTGTATATAGCTAGTTATATCTACTTTTGTAGAGTTCCAAAGCCATACTACTAACACCTGTGAATTTTAAAGGAGTATTGATCCTTTGCCTGCACCACAACTGTGTTCTGTGGAATAAGTGTTTTCCTTGCCTTTCTTTACTAATTGTTTAAAAATTCAGTGGCTGATATTAAATACAATAAATTGACAAATATTGGTTATCATTATACTGTAGTTAAGTTTATTCCAGTGATAATTGTTATCCTCATTGCAATATCTCATGGAATAAGTCAAGTATATTGCAATATACATTTTGCTTCCTTAGAGAGTGAGGAAACATTTGGGGATAGAAAGTAATTAATATTTCAATTATAAATCCCTATTTCTGTTCTGTACAACTTTTGTAAATTATACTGTTGAAATTTGCAGATTTCCTACTGTTCCCTGCTCCCCTTTATGGATTTTTGTAAAATCTTCCTTGTATGCATTTCCATGTTTTGATTATTCAATCTGCATAGTTCTGCTCTGTCAATTGTTAGAAGATTGATCCTTGGGATTTTATGAAAATGAAGCACCAAAGCCTATATTCATACCAGGACATTGAACATCTATATAGATAGTCCTCAGCTTATAACCATTTCTTCAGTGACTGTTTGAAGTTATGTTGCATAACATAATGCTGAAAAAAGGACTTAAAATCTGTGGCTTAAAGTTATGGCTATTGTGGTGTCTACATAATCATGTCATCAAAATTTGAGCACTTAGCTACACACCCATACTTATGACAACAGGAGCACTTTAACTTACCCCATCCACCTATCTTCCTTCCATCTATGCTATTTTGGGCACCTCGTATCTTATCTTGTGGGGTGGCAAGCAGCCCAAGAATTGCATGAGTCTAGATCTGCTTGCAACACTTAGGAAGCCTCAGCTGCCACCACCCACCTCACAAGCATTTGTTTGCCCAGTTGCCTTCTCTCCCTATTCCTACACCATTTTTTTTTTTGGCTTTCTGTGCCCAGCTACTGCAGCTGAAACAGAAATGCCGCACTACTTTTGCTGTTTACTTTTTGGACCTGAGGTCACCATCCTACTCTGGGTGCTCCAGCTTCTCTGGCTTCCTACAAATAGTTCCCCAGCCCACCAGGCAGCATACCTACAAAGCCCCAGTAAGTGCCAGCACGCATTCATTCACCCATCTGCCTTCTCTCCCAATTCCTTGAACCCCTCTTTCATTTTTTGCACCCAATCACCCCAGCCAAAGCAGAAGCACTTTTTAGTCTAGCTGTCTTGGATCCAGCTTTTCTAGCACGTTTCCTATACAAAGCTCCCTGAGCCTTTGGAATGCTGTGCTGCCTTTGTAAAGCTGTGCTGCTTTTGGGAAACTTGTGTAAAGATAGTGCAGCTTTAGGAAGATGGTGTAGCATTCTGAAGGATCAGAAAGCCAGATATATAAAAAAAAACCGGGGTGGGTCAGAAAGATTTCTGCTTCAGGCTGGTTCAAAAAGCACTTCTGAGGTACTTCTTTGTGCCTTGGTGAATGGGCACAAAAGGCAAAAAGTTGGTGTAGTTAACTGAGAAAGAAGACAGCTAGGTGAATAAATGCTACTGGGGACTACTGGGTGGGCTGGGATAACTGAGGCTTCCCAGGAGCCTGGCAAGCAGCTCCAGAGCCACACACTTCTTTGACTGCTTGCTGCCCCACAAGGCAAGGTGTGAGGCAGCCAAAGGGAAGAGATAGGGTGATAAGTGAATGGAAGGAGTTGGAGGCTATCATTTCCTTTACTGAGGCTTAGATTGGGAGTTACTAAACTTGAAATAGCTTACTTTGGGTTGACCTGCAATTTTCAGATATTGACTGTGATAGGGAATGCTACTGTCATAGGTCCATGGTCACACAATGTCTTACTTTATAATCACACCAACTTATAACAGCAATCCTGTCCCCAGATTGTGGTACTAAGTCAAGGATTACCTATAAGTCTTGCCAAAGTTGGAATGAAAAAAAGTGCAAAACTTTCCCCTGCTTGAAGTGTTTTATCCACATCTCATTATATATAAAGTACATCTAGGTCAATCATGTGAATGTTCAATAACTTCCCTTGTTTTATGACTTCAGGATGGTTCATTGTAGCAACATGCTAGGAAAATAGCCAAGAACACAGCATGGAACACATGGTATAAATCTGACCTCATCAGGTTAAGCAGAACACTTCAAATGTAATTTCTTGTATCAGGCTCCCAAAGTCAGGCTGCCTTGTTGAACCACCATCTCACTCTAAGCAGCAGTCCACAATTTGAGGCCACCAAAAACTTTGAACACATTCCTCCCCTGATATTGTAATTTTTAATATGGCAGAAAAAAAATAAGCTTGTGGGAAGCAATCATATTAATTTAGATTACACTTTTTTTAAAAAAAATCAAATCTAGTGTTCTTACAAGCTTCAGATATTACTCTAACCTCTCCTACATGTCAGCCCTTCTTCCTCAGAAAATTGAATGTTCATGCTTTTAAATAAAGCAAAGTGAAGTATTACAGGATGTGACTGGAAATTATCAGCATTCTAGGTGATAATGCAAGTTATACAATCTAAAAGATGCTTATGTGGTGAAGGTCAAAGACAAGATATCTTGACTGATTTTGGCCTTCCACCCGTACACTAATATTTAATGTTAATATATTCATATATTCAATCTTTGTTTTGGATAGATATGTGTGAAAATATCTTTCATATGATCTGCTACAAGTTATATGGATGACTATTGAAAGATTTAAAATAGTTGGGTTTTTTTCTAAACATGAAATAGATATTACATACAAACAGCAATTATTCATCCAGTATAGAGACTGGTAGAGACTTCATGGGCCTTTCTAAAATTATTTTCATTTCCACCTGTAAAATCTCCCCACCGATGGGGGGAAAAACATGATTTGGAATTGTTTGGGCTGATTTGTAGTGAAAAAGACTCAGAGAGATCTTTGTCTATTACTCCCACCCATGACAAATCCAATCCCCTCCCCAAACTCTCAAAACAATGCCCTCCTTTCTGCTGACATCACTAAGCCATCAAAAAAATATGCCAGGGGCATCCAGCTTTTGGGGGAGCAGTTTGTACCTCCAGGCAAATCACTTACTACTCATTCCTGATCTAACAAAATGCTATTTTAAATGGTAAGAAATCAGGAGAGTAACTTATGCTTATGTGGCCATATTGTACGTTTTATGTTCCTCATTTCATATGTTTGCATCATTGGCAACTCAAGCCTGAGTTGTAGCTAAAGGGGTTTAGCAAGTCAAAATAAAGCTTGGAAATGAAAGAGTTTCCTTGTTTGATTCTATAAACATGTCAGGCCAGCCCCCATCTGATCCCTTGAAGTGAAGGGATCAAGGGAAAGCAGATCAAGGGATCAAGAAGTCAAGGGATCAAGAAAGACTCTTGACTCTATTTGATTAAAGTAAAGGGTTCTTTTACTAAAGGTGTTGGTTGCAGTAAAGTCAAACTAGGTTCAATAGATACAAAAAGGTTCACCCACAGACCATCCATCTCCCTGTGACGAGTTCATTTCCAGCCAACCGGACTCACCAAAATGTTTTGAGAACGATAAGGTGCTTGAGGGTATTCCGCATATTTTCTCAGTGTCCCTGGCCTTGGGATCCTGGTACAAACTAAATCCAGCTCCTCTAGTCTGTATCACCCATCATTCCCCGATTTCCCATCATGTACGCACACAGCTTTACTGCC